TCTGACCCACTTATTCATGGTGACTTTGCAAGCAGCCAGCTTTGTGCCTGGGCATCCGGGTCCAGGTCACTTCAAGTTCAGTATCATGGTTTTGCAGGTCCAGGACATTTCACTCAGATGGACTTTGAGGTGAAATTTGTCAGCTGCATTTTTAGGTATGATTAGAAAAATCAAATAATCTCTTCTTCCTTTCTCTAAGTGTGTGTGCTGCTGTAACAAGTGCATTTCTCCACTGTGGAATGAATAAAGTCTATTCTAAAACAGCATCCCTGTTTTGTAGCTGCTTTCAGACGTAAAACCTGTTTTTACTTATTGCTTCAGTATCCAAATATGAACTTTGCATGTTGCGGATTTACACTGGTGTATATGATCAGAGATATTTAATTTATTAAACTGGGAGTGAACCTGCTCCTATTTAAAAAGAAGAACAATCCCCACAGATGCACAACTCGGATATGTCAGTTTGCCATGATGAAATCAACCTTTTATTAAATCTGTCACTTGCAAAAGGGGCAAAGGAGCTGCAATTACACACTCCGTGTTGCATCAGTGACAAACAGCAGCAGTGACTGCTCACAGCAAAACACATGGTCTTGGTTATTTTGGGGATTTACTAATAAACCATATGAGAGTGTGCAACTGAAGCAACTCCATACAAGAGCATTGGTTTGACTTAAAGGTCAAATTATTCATGAATAATCGGTAAACAATAAATAGGTATTTCTATGAGGAACAAGAAGTTACCCATGTTAAAAAATCAGGTTTAACAGTGTTGTGTTTCTCATGACTGACATATGTTTGTGAAACATGGAAGATGCCAGTTTTGTTATTTCTGTAAAGGTGTGTTTGACTTATTCTGAGAAAACCCTGAGGGGGATTTTGCTCTACCTGTCTTCAAAAACAGCCCACAGGGCCTCTGTTGGATTAAAGTCAGGCCACGCTCTTGACCAGGTCAAGATTTCCCCTTTTCTTTCTTCCAGAAACATGTGTGTGATTTAGATTTATTTCTGCCTCGCCTCTGGCTACAGGAAGTGATCTTGTGAGCCAGTATTTCAGCCCATCTCCCCAAATCCGTTTGCATTTGTGCAGCTCTATATAATCACGCTCCTTTAGAGAACTGAACGTGATACCAGGGTCTATGCACATAAAAGTCAAACAAAATAGTTGCAGTTATGTGACTCATCTAAGCTGGACAACTTCATGTTAATTCCACAGGAAACAAAACATTTAACCACTGTTTTTACCCCCTTTTAAAAGAAAGAACAAGCAAACTCACAGATCTCACAACCTGTGACGGTTTCTACCTATCCATGTCATCAGCATGGGCAGCCTTGAGTTCAGTTACTATGATATTAAGTATAAATGTGTTTCCCACTGAATTTCCGTAGGCCACTGATTTTCCTATTTCCTGTTCTGTCCTTTTGATGTCCTACAGAGATTTTTAAATGCCTTCAGACATTCTGTTCCATCTAGATTCATGAAGATAGAAACTGCAGATTGAAACCAGCTATAGGTTCAAAACAAAGAGCGTTCAAGGGCTGACTGTATCTGCGAGAACAATCTGCATAGGTCACTTCATTTCCACACACATAATACTTCAACTCCTTCATAAATCCCACATATAAATGAGTTTTTAAAGTATTTGCGTGGAGAACATGTGTCTGATGCACTGCATCTGAAGGCAAGTCAGTGGCTCTTTCAAAGTGCAAATAAAACACAAGTGTAAAAAGAATTTCATGAAACATTAAATTGGTAAATTACTGCACCTTATAGGGTTCTACGACACTCTGAGCCAAGGTGCTATGCAACGCAAGCAGTCATTCGTCCACGCATACACCCATTCACACGCTCACACCAAATAAAACATCCTTTGTAAGATAACTTGATTATTTTATGTGAATTAATTTCTCCTCGTGTTTTATACCTTAATAATAATAATCATCATCATAATAATAAATCACCTTACCATACCTTAGTGTGTAATGCAACAGTGGGGTAAAAGTTTGATAACCAAGATGCGATCCTTGGACAACACATTGTTATTAGGCATAAATAATTAGACGAGTCATCTGAATGCACCTTGAATCTGAGGAAAACAAACATTAAGGCTCCAAAGGGATAACATACCTGCTAAAATTTCATTTGCAACCAAACATTAGGAGGTAAAACACGTGTAATCTCTGTTCAAAAAATACATGACTCAGAGCTGCGACGTGATTCATTTATGCTATGACATTTGTTTTTCTAATTTAGCTAAAAGCTGATAAGCATAAGTAAAATTATATTTTTCATCTATAATGAAAAATCTTAATATTCATTTGAAGTAAAAACAGTGTATTTCCTAAGCTTTAAAAACTATTTCCAAACATAATAACTTTACTTTATAATTAAATATTGAACATCAAAACTTGTATTCTACAGGTGATGTCACTGCACAAAGGCATCTGGGTAGGGTCATACAAACAAATTGCACTCGACAATAGAACATATACACTTTCAGAGTGCTTGAACATCAATGTGAAGACATAAAATGGAGGAAACTGTGTTGAAGGAGGAAGACATCAGGGGCTATTTCTGATGGCGACCCTGCTAATTATCGATTGCCAGAACTGGAGCTCTGGCTCAAATGTCAGGGTCAAAGTAAAAGCTAACTCTCGTCCGTAACGCTGTGGTTTTAAACACCGTCATTCCCATCTCTGCTCCTGCTTGAGTAATATAAACATAAGTTCATTACACACAGACCTCAAGTAACATTTTCTCAAGGTAGTATTTTAACTGTCAGACTATTATTTCTGTTCCTACTTTTTACAAACACCTCTGGTCAAAAACCTTTGTTTGAACACAATGTTTGACCGAGAAGTTCATCTGGACACCTGCATTAACACCGCTGCCTCCCGGATAACTCTCCTCCGCTTACACTGCTGTCCCTCCTGGATAACTCCACGTCTGAGAGTGGCGCTAGGACTGGCTGGTCATTTCTCTGGCGTAAGACCTTTCCCTCTGGGAAAATGTTAGAAACAAATAAACGTGCTCTTCTTGATCTGCTTCACGCAGTTAAAATCCGCTCTTTCACATAAAAAAATACCACAGCTTTGCTTTTTCTGTCTTTATGTTTAGGTTTATGTATTTAGCAGACGCTTTTGTCCAAAGCGACTTACAAGTGGTAATTGGCATGTTGCCCTTGAGGCTAACAACAACAATAACAACAACAACTTGACATCAATCATGGAGAGGAGGGAACAAGGAGTGGACAGTAGAGAGGGGGACGGGTGCAGGGAAGGTGCTAGTTTAGAAGATGCTCTCTGAAGAGCGGGGTCTTCAGGAGTTTCTTGAAAATTGTCTTTAGCTTAGCCCGTTTGCCTTTCCAGCTGTTTCATGGCGTCGCAGACAAAAGAAATCTGCTCCGACATCAGATCTGGGTATCTAGAGTCAGATTAGCACTTCCCCCAGCAGCAGAGCTTAGTTCCTTGCTGTTTGAACATCATTAGGAGATGAAAAAAACCAACTTCACCCAGAATGGAGCAACTCAGACCCACAAGAAACTATAGAAAATGCCCGCTTGCTTGTATGACCCTGCATCCCACTGTGCTTTGCGATCTATTTTTAACTACTGTAGAAAACCCTAATTGCAAGCCCACATGGTTTCACCATATTAACAGGTTTATCAGCATGTTGCACCAAAACAGCTAATTTATTATTTAAATTAGGGCCCGACCAATATATCGGCCGGCTGATTGGGGTCATTAACACCATCGGCTATCAGCCAAAAAGATGTCCGATATGGCGCTACCTATCCAGCAGATGGCGCTCGCTTTATGAACTCATGTTGTGTGGCTCCACTCCTCGGGGGGTGGAGCCACCGTCACAGCACACATGTAGCGGAGCAGCAGAGTCAAGCAGAGACAGACGGTGATGAGGAGGTAGGAGGTAAGTCTTCAGTTTTAAGCACATCTGTTGTGTCAGTGGTAAGTTGAACGATAAAATAAGCAATGACAAAAGTATGTTTCCCCTCAACATGCTTCCTAAGTTTATTGTGTGCCTCGTGGCCTCGTATTGAAAAGTTAACCTGAAAAAATAAAATAAAAATGCTGCAGCATTACGCTCTATGCAGAGCTCACGCTGCTTCCCCTTTTTCTGCTGGTCTTTTTCTGGTAGACATTCTGGAATATTCTCAGACAATTTCCTCCGCTCTTCAGCAGACTTTTCAAACTTACGCGGTTCACCCGAGGCTCACGAAAAAAATAGTGCAGACGCCGAAAGGATCGCTGCACGGCGCGGCTTGGTCTAGTTCACTAGGCTAGTCATCTGCAGCATCTGCTCATCTTCAGTAGTAGTTTGTGTGTTCTGTTGTTTTTGAGATTGCAAAATAGATATTATTTGCATTACTTGGAAACCCTAGTGAGTTATTGAGACAGTTCTTTGGTGTGTAATATAGAAATAAGTTAGCATCAAAAAGGCAGAGAATGAAGGGTTTAATCTTAAGAACATTTGTATTTATTTCTTTTTTTGCGAGGGAGATTTATCGGCCATTATATCGGCTATCGGCCTTTGTTAAAAGTTTTATATCGGTATCGGTCCCAAAAAAAAAAGCATATCGGTCGGGCCCTAATTTAAATATTTCCATCATTTCCAAAATTGCCAAAACTACCAACTAGTTTGAAGCTATTTTTTGTTCCCATTTCAGTTTTAAGTATTTGCCTCTTTCTAACTCAAGGAACACATTTTACTCAATTTAAATTGACTTAGTATGTAATTACAAGTTTATTACATCTGCATTACCAAATCTAGCACACTATTACCTGTAAGGTGATACTAAACATCAACATTTTGTATTATTAATTTATTCTATTATTTAATCAGTAATTGGAATCTTTAATTAAATAAATAATGAGCGAGGTAGCGGTTATCCAGACTTGTCTGCAGAGCTGATGTATTGAACATGTGGACATGAGGTCATCAGTTTGTGAACTTTTCAACTGGAAGTTGCGGGTGTAACTCACCACAGTTCTCCTCGTCTGCCTGATTCCCACAGTCATCGATGCCGTTGCAGTGCAGAGGCTGAGGGAGGCAGACAGTCAAGTTGCCACAGGGGAAATATCCAAGTGGGCATGTCGCCTTCTCCTCTGTGGTATTGAGGGCTGTAAACAAAGCAGAGACAAAGATTTTATGCTAATGTTCCATCTCTGCCTTTAATCGGACACATCAAGAGTCCTTGAACCAGATATTAGTTACACATGATCCAGAGAGTCTATTTTTCCACCCCGCCAAGCCTTGTCAGTTTGTGTCAAACAACTTTTTTCAGGTTTATGTCAGTTGTAAATTGTGTAAAGTGCAAACATGTATTTTTATTTGAGAGGGATAATAAGCTTGTGTTTTATATAATCCTTTTTAACAATGTGTATTGAAACCCCATAATAGTGGGCAATTCAGTGAGAAGGAAGCTGTGGATTACTAATTTGACCTTTACTCAAATGTATAACCTCTGAATATTTAAAGGTCTAGCTGCTGTTTGTCATTTTAATGCTCATGATTTACACCTTGTTTATATTCATTACCTTTACCAGACGTTTGGCTCCATTTTTTAAAGAGCTAAAAACCTGTGAAAATACAGCTTTAAAGACGCTGAATGAGTATGAGTAACCAATCCTGTTTAGACAACTATTTGAAGGTAACACAGTGTTTTCAGATGAGATGCCATTGATCTAGCACCCGTTATCAGGCACATTATAGATGCCAGTGCATCAATTCATGATATAAATAATACATATCTGCCTATTCTTTGTTCTGTGTTGATAAAAAATGTATTATCTTGTCAGATTTTGGAACAACTGTATGACCTGTTTCTTATCTGATAGCTCTTGCTGCAAAATGCTGCAGAAAACTGGTGAAAGGCTGATCCATCTCAGTCTAAAATGCATTTCACATATTGTTGACATGTGTCCTTGGGCATTCAGCTGGGCTCCATATCCATTAGTGACATGCTGTTCAAGTCAAAAGTGTCATTTTTCAGCACATTTCGTATAAACGTCTGTGGCTTTTTCTGTAAAATGAAAACATGTCTTGTAGATTTGGAGCAATGCATATTTTAACTCACTCACAAAATCACAATTTTCACGATCCTGACTAGCACTTTGTTAACCTTTCAAATAAACCCAAACAAGGATTTATACTAGCTCCTCATAAAATTTTACTTTTGTATGCATAAAATGTGAAATTCAACAAATAAAAGGAAAAAGTTGTGAAGTATTTGATCTAAAATTATTGAATTTGTATCAAAATGATAAATTAACAATTACATTAGTTTGTGTAATATAGATTATGTCCTTCAACACAGTCTCTATTAAAGGCCAAGTTCACTCATTTTTTTCAACACCTTTGCAGTGGGCTCTAGTATAAATGATTGCCTTGTGAGTCAATCTCTGAGGGGGAAAGAAAGCTCTGGTGCTCTTGCTTCAGGAAGTAGAAGTTAGCAAGGGTTGAGGTGAAGACGGCAGGTTTTGGAATTTTATTTTCTGATATTCGGAAAACTCGCCTTAATCTGATTACAAGTGGACCGAGAAGAACAGGTGTGAATGCATTCTAGAGAAGTTGAGGACACACTCCGAATCTGATGATATTGCTCAGGTCACATCGAGAGATCATGAAGGCTTGTGGCTGCCTTTTTTAACATTATGAACACAAACTACCACTTTGTTTTTTTTGGAAAATTAACCATCTACAGTAGGTGTCTTTATTAAAACTTGCTTGTTTTAAACGGTTTTAACTGCATTCAACATGCTGCTATTGATTTGTTGAAATTATTGTTTTAATATAACAGTAAAATAATTGTAAAACTTCATACTGAGCATTGGTTAAAGGTCGACTTTACTTCTAAGTCTTGTGTGGGAAACAAAGGTCCAGTGCACCAGTTTGAGATCATAGAAGTCAGCTGGAAGAGAGAGTGGCAGAAAACGGCAGAATTTGGCATCTTATTTCTTGATATTTGGACATTTCACCTCTGATTTGCTAACAGCAATACAACTCTATCACTGACTCTGTTTTCTTGGTAACACTGATTTTTTTATCTCCACAAGTAACACAAGCCTGGAGGCGTTCTGCTGTGTGGTGGAGTTGCTAATGCTAACACATGGCTTCTACTAGCTGATACACACTCTGCTCTCTCCTGGACACCAAATCAACAACAGCATTCCTAGCAGCCACTTATTTGGGGACACATCTGCCAGGACTGATGAGCTAACAGCTAAAACCTGAACCAAGAACAAAGTCTACAGCAGCTCCCGTCTCCAAAGTTGCACTCTGCTTTATACAATGGTTATTATCCCTTGAGGACCCATGGTGACACTGGTGTCAAAACATTTCAAACATCTGCAAAATTGTTTTTTGAGTCAAACATTCAAGTTGAAAACCCAAGTGACATTCTTTCCATACATAAATTCAAAATTATTCTATATTGTATTTAAAAATTTCTACATTTTGATGTATTTTTCTAATTCTTAAGGGCTTAGGTACTAAAGAGTTAAAATAAAATTAGCAACGCCATCAGTTTTGCATTACATAGGGATTTTTCACTGAAGTCCCTTCTGAACACGACTCCTGGATGCACCAGAAGAGCTAAATTGTGTTGCTGCCGGTGATATTTAAAAGTTACATAACTAATTTTTTTTAAAGCATGTGATGCAAAATTGATGGCTAAGAAAAGGTTTATAAAATAACAATTGCATGACTGCAGGTGTTGAAAGCTGCAACCAAATTTGGTCTTGGTTGAATTTGAGATAGATATATCTCCAACTAGAAGCCACCAAGGATGATTTCTACCACACAGATTGTAATTATTTCTAAGTTGCACACAGAAACACCCTTTTGAATGACTGCAAATTCAATCATTTGCCATTAGATAGAAGACATACACATAACATATATTGCAGCTTTATGTTGCCTTGGCATGTTGTACTTTGAGCTTGATAACGTTTCCGTGAGGTCAGCACTGCCACCACCTAAAGAGATTTTTAACTCATGTCCCAGAAGACAGATAAGATTCAAGCTGCTGCTGAGGTGTTGCATAATTAACACTGAGTAAGATCGTCAGCGCCTTGATGCACAATGGCTCACGAGCCAAAGAAAGAGAGTCACATTTTTTTACAGTGATCCAGATAGATGCAAATGCCACCTTCAGATTATTTTCTTTGTCTCTTTTAGATCTAAAATACTAAACTCAAGTTGGTGAAGCCTGTGTCTCACATGTGTCCCAGTTGATCAGATCCCGAAGGAATTCATCTTAGGTGACTCCTCACCTCCCTTAAAAGCAAATGAAAAGAGACACAGCATGCCACCAGTAAAAACACCCAGTGTACTCCGTCATATGACAGACACAACATGAGATAAGTAAGAGCAGCAGAAATAATGCATTACATCTGATGCATTATTCACTTTGACTTCTCAACTCCTAAAACGTGTTTTCTCAACAAACAGCAACTTGTGTGTCACAAAAAGAAACATTGCAGCTTTACAGAGAGGGTTCACCGAGAAACCCTTTTCTACTTATTATAACTGATTACAATCGGTTACTCTGAGTTTAACATACATTCTGAACAAAAAAAAAGTCTCCAACACTTTTTTCCTGCATTAGCTTCTGAAAGAAAATAGACATAAAAACGCTGGTTTCATAAAAGCCTGACAGATCTACGTCACACTGTCACTTAACGTTCATGGGCTCACCCATCTTGACTCACGACGGGGAAGACTGTTGTTGGTTTAACATCCAGGAAAGAGCAGAGAGCATCTCGACTGGTAGAAGCTAACCATTAGCATTATCAACTCCACCACACAGCAGAACATCTCGAGGCTTTTGTTATTCGTGGAGATAAAACATCAGCGTTGCAAACAGAGTCAGTCATATTGCAGTTAGCCAATAAGAGGTGAAATGTCCAAATATCAGGAAGCTAGATGAAAAACTCTGCTGTTTTCTGCCACTTTCTCTCCTCCAGCTGACTTCTATGTTCTCAAACGAGTGCACAAAATTTTTGGAAGACAAGACTTACAAGGAATAAATTCCTACTAGAGACTAGGGCTGGGCGATATGGCAAAAATAGAATGTCACGATTTTTCCAATATTTTATCACAATTTCGATATTATCATAATTTTTTATCCATGAATAGCATAACTTCAATTGCGTATTAAAGAAGAGAAACATTGAATAAATAAACATTTATTCATATTAGGGATAATCAGCACAGTGCTAACACACTTATATTTTAAACTTACACCAGAGATGATAAAAGCCCTGAGAGAAACAATTACAAAAATCAGTTTCTCGTTTTTCAAGTAACTTAACGTAAATTAAAATCGTAAACATATTTAAAGTGCAAACATGTCAATTGCAAACGTATTGTGCAAACATTAACCTGTTCAAAATACTATGTAGATCCCAGTTGCTCATGTAGTGGATAGTTAAGCTCAAATACGGCTCTGATGTGCGGCTGGACCAGAGATCGCTTGTGGTAGCAAAAAAACTGCGCATTCTGAAAATTTTCTGCAACAAGTCTCTAAATAAAGTAAAATTTTCCAGTGGAGACAACCCATAGAAGCACTGATTTGGTCTCATTTCAGAGAAAAATAGAACAGGTTAGATGCACCTAATAAATAAAATTACTAACAAACTCAGGAATCTTTCTTTGCTTCACTGTTCTGGTGCTGAAAATATCACTAATGCAGATCAAAGGAGATACACAGATGAATGCACCTCTTATTATTTGGAGACTACATTTACTGTAGCTGGCAGAGGCAGAGATTGTTTCTATTGATACACAGAGTTTACAGAATCATTTTAAATTGTAATAGGGGAAGACTGCAGGAGGGAGCGGTAAAATACAGGGGGTCCCCAGCAAAAACAAGAAACTACGAGTCTGATGAAACCCGCTGGTTTTCCATCAGGCAGTCACTGGGCAGCTCCAACGACCCAGTGATCGAGCTCAGTCCGGCTCGGCAGAGGGTGGACGAGCCGAGGCGACGTCGTGCTCTGCTTAAGAAGAAGTGTTATTTTCCTGCTTCAGAAGAAGCGTCCAACGTGTTTTTACGCTTTCTCCGAGACATGTCACGTCGCTAAGTTGTTAGCGCCGCGCGCTAAGGAAACTCTGCGTT